CTGGTCTTCATCGAGGATGAGGAAAATTGCTTATTTTTAGATCTCAGCAGGCAGGGCGTTATCTGAAATGGTAAGGAGAGCAAAAAAGATTCGGTAGCAGCGGAGGGAGTCAGGAGTTGAGTTCCAGGCAGCACTGATTTTCATTTTATGAATGCCTCCCTTCTTTTATTGTCTTGATGATCTTCTCTAACTTTCATATGATAATCAAGATGAAAAAGCAGATCCTCCCTCCCCCATGTGAAACTGCAGGTAGATAGAATGTAGACACAGGTTGAGCATGGAACCATGGTGGTCAGCACAGGTGGCACTAACATTCACTTTGTGGGAATCACTGCTTGCCATATAGTAGCTGCAAATTTTACTAGAATCACACAGCTGTAGACTTAGGAATCCATAGGAGGCATCCAAATCTAGGCCAGAGGCACTTGCTGATATGGCACAATGATTGTTTGTGTGCTCCATTCAGGATGTTGTGCAGTGGAACAAAAGCCTGGCTGCAGGTGTGAAGGAATTCAGAAAGGGGGATGAAATCACTGTTCTTCAAAAAGGTCAGTGACTGACTAAAAAGCTACTGAGATGCTTATAAGTCTCATTTTACTCCCAGGATGATGATATAATCAGTAATTTCATTCCATTTCCAGCTTATACTGCTTGATTTACAAATGGAGAGATTCATGCTGATTATGGTATCACAATCAGATTCTCAAGTGCGTATCTCTTTTAGGTTTTAGGCTGGTTGGGTTGGTTTGGTTTCCTTCAACCTCCAAAACCTTAAACAAAATTGTCCTAGCAACTCTGCTTTGAATAATTTTTTCCCATTGCTTGGGCATGACCTAGAACAGTAGTGGAGTTCTGAGAGTCTGCAAATTAAAGTGTGAATGGGGATAGAGAGAGAAAGCAGCATGGGGAGGGGGTTCTGTTAACGTGTGAGAACTGTTCCTCGGCTGTACCTCGTCCGTCACCCAAATTGGTAGCACTGCCTTGAGAAAGCCCATTTTGTATCTATAACTTGTACAGGGACTGCAAGTACATTCCTGTGTCCAGAGCTCTTCCCGTGAGGCCTCAGACTCTTGTTATGTATGCTTTTCAGTTCATTAAACTGTAAGATCACAAGCCCAAAGTTTCCACATTTCAACAGTGTACTGTGCATGGCTGGGCTTGGGATTTATGGTCTGTGTTCCTCTAGCCTCATGTTTAAGAACACTGATGATGAACAATTGATTGTCTTTTTAAAAACTGCTTTTGTCTATGCTGAGATGCTTTCAGCTGCTTGGCGTGGAGCTTATCAGCCCTGGTTAGCTGCCAGCTGTGAAAAATCACATACCAGCATGTGCATCTTATTAAAGCCTCGAAAATATTCAGGAAAAGCAGCTGTACACCTCCACTTATCTGATTTTTGCTAACTTCCCCCTCCATGCAACCCTTTTTGCCAGAATCTCTAGGGTGCAGCTATCAGGTGAGAATGTGAAGAACAAATCACATTCAAACTACCAAAGCTAGCACCTGGAAATGAACCTGTAAACGGGTCAAGGCCTCTGAGAGAAATCCAAGCTGAATAGATTTTTCTGGATTCTTTTTTTGTTTTGTCCTATAGAGAGGATGTAATTATCATTTATAACATATCTTAGCATCTTGCCATAGTTTATGTTGCAAGAATGATGTGCACCATCTAGGGTCTGAAGTGCATTAAAAGTGATCTAAGGACTCCTCTTAACTGCAGTGAGTCAAGCCCTTGAGCACTGTTAGGGCAAGCTTCACCAAATGCAGTCTCCTAAGCATTTTTTATTGAAATGTAAGCAATTTTTGACTCTGCAGAAGGCAAGCTGTGTTGATGTTTAATAACCAATTTACTCAGTGGCATGTATAGAAAAAGCTTAGGGAAGAAGGCCAAGATGTGCAAGCTGCTGGAGAGTTTTCCATCCTGAACAGTGCTCAAAGTCAAGTAGGGAGTAAATGTTTGTTTCTTACTTCAGTGTGGACGAGTTCCAACTCCCCTGCAGGATGAGCTGTCATAGTTTATTCTGCTGAATTCCTGTGAAGGCACTTCTTTGCTATTACAGTACCTCGATGTGTGTATTTATAAATGACCTGGCTCAACAGAATCAGCCACTTGGCAGGGTTGTGCTTTAGCTCACTTTTAAAGTGAAACTCGGAAGGATGGAGGGGATAGGAATTTCACTTCTGTGAAATTCACTTCTCTTTC